TTGCTGAAGCCTTGGTTCTCCCGGCCCAGCTCCTGGGTGTGGAGCTGCTGCTCCTGCAGGAGGTGGTTCTCCTCCTTCAGTCTCTCTACAGAGGTCTGAAGCTCCCGGTTCTCCTTCTCCAGCTTCAACACCCGACTGGAAACACACTCGTTCAGCTCGTGGACCAAGGACTTACGAGCTGCAAAGAAAAGAATATTTGAGTTTTGACCCAATAGAGAACAGGGTAGAGTGGTGCAGTGACGCGTCCTAAAACCCGGAAGGAAGCTGCGCTCGGGTTCCCTCGACTAAAGAGCAATGGGATTTCTCCATAGGGTTTTGGAAAATAGCTGGAAATAAAGTCTACTTTTATCATTTTCTAATTATAAATCTATCCATTAGATTTATGATTAGATGCTGCGTCACTGCGTCACCACTCAATAATGAGTATCTCTTACTCTCTGTGTTAGTGTTGTCATGGTTCTTGGACAGCTGCTCCAGCTCCCAGCCCAGATGAGCCGACTCGTTCATACTCTGTTTCTGTCCGATCTCCAGCAGCATGTTCTCCTCCACCAGCTCCTCCATCCTCCGACGCTCATTGTCCCGCTCCTGCAACATTTGAATGCCAATGTGTTCTTAATAAGAGTCTTAATAAGCATTGTTTTAGGGACATCACGAACCAAAACCAGAAACAGACCACTAGCATATGAAAAAGCCCTGATTCATAACAAGAGTGGGGCAGTGATGACATATCTTTGTAGGCCGACCCGGAAGTTAGCATCACACGGGCTCCCTCAACAAAAAGCAAGGGAATCTTTCCATGGATTATGGAACATTGCAGAAAATAAGAGCTGTGGTAAATGAACATTGATTATGCTACAGGTTTGTTTCAGCAGGATAATCTCCACATATTAACACCACTTTTGAGGCACGAATACAATAGCAAGAAGTACAAAAACTACTGTTAGCTAGGCTATAAAACGACATGGCGGTTGCATGACTTTAGGTCACCGCCGCTAAGCTAAAGGTGGCTAATGGTCAAAGTGATGACATTTAGCTACTGGTTTGCAATCACAGTTTTTATGACATGTAAAAGCTTCAGACATTCACCAGTGGGGCATGTACTGACATATTTTATGTCGTAGAACAAAATGTGAAAGTCTCTTCACCTTAGATTTACTTACCAAAAACTAATTCAAAAAGACATTGTCTTTAAGACTCATTCCCAAGTATAGGACGTACGGCACAACACTAATTGTTTATGCACAAGAAAGGCTGTTTTGTTATTCAAGCTTATGTGAGAACCTGTAAATTAGCAGACACATGACATTTTGACTTATCATTTGTGTAGTTTAGACTCATGGCATTGCATATTACCATTTCCAAGTCGTTTAGTTTAGCTCGTAGTAACAGGTTGTCTTTCTCCAGTGTGTGCAGTTTGTCACAGCGCCCCCTGGATGCTGACAGCTGCTCTTCCAACAGCACCTTGGTCTCGATGAGCGTCTCGTTGTCCTCGCGAAGCTCCTGAAGGACCACAGACACATACATACTGAGTTGAATGCCTTTGCCAGCTGCCAAGTAAGTCTGGCTCCATGGTGCGTTTATGTCTTATCTTTTGGAATTTCAATAACATGAAACATATCCAATACAAGATAATGATTCTGTATTAAGTGTGAAAGTAAACAAGGTATATCAACTTAACAGTGGTGAAGTGTAACAAAATTATATTTACTTTAGTATATCACTTAATTATTTCCTCAACTACAGTTTAGAGGCACAAATATCATACTTTCACTCCAGTAATTGTATCAACACTTTGAGTAACTAGTTCCTTTTTAGCTATAGAAACACATGATATGACTAAATGAAACCATACTGTACTAATAATCAACCCAATATTTGACCAGTATCTCAAATTGGCTCCACATTAATAAAATGCTCTTACACTTTGAATTCATACATTTGACCTTAGTATGAAGTATGGAGTATTTTAAGACTGTAGTATTTCTACTTTGACTGAAGAAATAATAGAGTTTAGTCTGCAACTAAACCAGGAAATGCTAAATATAAAAAAAGTAGTAGAATATGTTGTTTAGACATTATGAAAACACCTCAACATTACAATAAATATATCCAATTACCCTTCAAAGATCCATACAGTACACAGACTGTTATCATGTAAGCCTGATGCTATATCGGTGTGAAGTGTGAAGCTGTAGGTGTACCTCCATCCTGGTCTTGTAGAAGTGAACATCGTTGAGTTTCTCTTTACAGCGGGTCAGCTCAGTCTCCAGTCGGTCCACCCGGGCTGCTCTCTCCCTCAGAGAGTCCACCTCGTCCCGGTACGCTCTGACTGACCGGGCCTCACAGGACAGAGACTGGTTCTGGACCAAAACACACACACACACAAGCAACATTAATGAGCCATCCTTTTCTCGCTCTATGTGTAACCACGTACATTTCTCCATATTTCTGTTTTCAAAGATGAAATGCAACCTTTTTCTCCCTTCCTGTGCCTTGATTCTATCTAAATAAGATCAAGTGAAAGCAATATAAACCGGGTGTATTCCTTGTGTTTTCCAGGCAGACATACCACCCAAGATGTTTGACACACTCTTATTATATCTCCATGGCTTTCTCAAACATGTTACATTTTAAATTGGAAATTGACGTCAATTGAGAAGGCGGTCCTTTAATGATTACTAGGACTTACACAATGCAGACAGAATGTAGCATGGATCACCTCCTAATGTGGTCTATGTGACCCTATCTCAATGCTTCTCTAATGTGTCTTGGGTGCACTCACACCTGTATTAAGAGTCAGGCGCTTTCACACTGCAGTACTTTTCCCACAAAGGTTAATGAGAACTTAGTTCATCAGAACCCTTTAGTTCTGCCCGTGAAAGAGTTGCCGCTTACGTCACTTCTTCTGCTTTGGGTTTACTGGCAGGCCGCAAACCACTTCAAGGCGTATACTGCCGCCGGAAGTCCCCGGCCGGAAGTCCCCGGAGTTAGGGACTGGCTTCAGTAGAAGCTGCTGGGACTCCCAGCAGCTTCTACTGAAGCCTTCCGAGTAAATCGCCAGAACGCCGACACCTCCTCATCTCCACTAGTGATGGCGAGATGAAGCCTTATGAAGCTTTCCAGCCAATTGGTTCGCAAAAGGGTTCATCTCATGAGGCTTCATCATGGGCTTCATTTGAACACAAACCCCCTGTTGGTCAAAGTGTGTAAAACAGGCAGATTGGACATCTCAACAGTGTGCTCCATCTCATACCGAGTTCCCAATGAGTAAAGCCTTAGAATAACTCTAAACAACGAACATTAAATCATATCTTCATGTTAACAATATTGTATTTATTCCATTTGAATGATTGTGATTGAAAAGCCTAAGGAAGCTGGTAAACATTGCAAAGAGGGATTTGCATTCCTTCATAAACGTAACCATGTTGTAGCCTGAGAAAGGCTAAACCATATCAAAGAATACATTTGTTAACTACATTATCTCATTTAGCTGTAGCTTTTATAAACAACAACAAAGACGTAGGCTATTGTTCAGTCGTTGAACCGGGGACCCTGCGGTCATGAGTCGACTGCTTTCCGGCTGAGCCGCAGCACACACACTAAAGCTCCCTGAAAACACTGGACCATATTTATTTCTGTATGTATTCATGTTTTTATTCCTACATTTATTTATGCTTGTATCTATTTATACTTATGACATGTTCCGACCTCTATATGAGTGAGGATCTGAGCTCTCTTGATTCCATCGTGTCACCGGGCCCGGGTACAGGAGGGGTAATATGGTTCTTAGTATACATCCATGGGTAATATGAGCGTTGTGGTTCAACGGTTCAACCGATCTGAATCGCTTCGTGAAGTCACGTGGTATCGACAGGCAGCGAGGCTTCGTTTGTCATCGATGACGTCACTGGCCCAAAACGATACAAGCCTCGATACAAGCTTCACAAAGAGCTTCGGGGATTACTCGACACACGCTCCGAAGCCTCGGCGCAATACGTAACATCACTAATCTCCACCGCTCCCATGTTTTCTTTTGTGTTGCCATAAGTTAGTCTCTCTGCGTTTGTGCGCTGGGCTAATGCTAATGTTAATAATGCTAATGCAAGGATAATAAAATGGCGGCCTCACAAAACTTTTTTTGAGTTTTACAGGGCGTGGTTTGCAATCCGCCCAGCCAATCAGACATAGGAACCTTTTTCTCCCAGGAAAGTCCCTGCTCTCTAGCAGGGACGGAAAGGGGGTGAAAAGGTTCTGATGAACTCATTTTAGTTCCGGCTCTTTTTGGTGTAAACGCAACATTTCGGAACTAAAGTGGGAAAAGTACTGCGGTGTGAACGCGCCTAAGTGTGAAGTGTATCCCCAGTGTTAATTCTTGTTTTCATAATGTTCCTCCAGTCACCACTGGTTATTAACGGCTCTGACCTCTTGTTTCTGTCTCTGCAACTCCTGATCGAGTCGCTCCACTTCATGTTTAGAGTCCATCAGCTGCTCTGTCTTCTCCTCCCTGCAAGCAGAAACACACATCAACAGTGAAGCCGTTGTAGAGACAGTAAACAATGTTTACAGCAAGTCTTTAATATAGCACAGTAAAACAGTAGATTTAGCAGCATGTCTTCCAAGTTACTGCAGATTGAATAGTGTTTTGTTTATCTGCAAATAGTTGTATCCCCAATGGGATTACACCCTATCAGAAGTACACAGCATAATAAGATATGTTGGATATATAATGACTTCCAGCTGCTGTATCCCCAGAGTTCAGCCTTAAAGCAGTTCCACCAACACAAAACGTTAAGACTCGACCGTGCAACAATATGTAGTGAACTGTCAATTTAGCCGTATGAAGTGATTTGTGTCATCTTTCACATTAATAATAATAATAATAATAGCTTGGATTTATATAGCGCCTTTCAAGGGACCCAAGGTCGCTTTACAAGTAATAGGGCAAAAACAAACATAACAACACAAAAGTCAGACAGACAAAACAACAGATCGATTAGGGGCCGAAAGCCTTGGCAAACAGATGGGACTTGAGGGCCCCTTTGAAGGCGTCGAGTGTGGGGATGTTGCGAATCTCCGCAGGGAGAGCGTTCCAGAGGGTGGGGGCTGCCACACATTACATTACATGGAATCATACTGTATGTCTTAACAGAAACATAATAGCCTGAACTGATTTGATTGTGATGTGTATGATGTTGGAGGAAACATCCAGGTTTCTGTTTGTCAGAACTGTAAAATGAGCTTAGTTAGACAATGACACTTCTGTAATCTATCTGTAAATAACTGGACAATATATACTTCCACTTTGAATACCATCACCTGGTTGCCATCACACTATTGTATACATGCTACACTTATTATTTGTTATAAATACTGTTACTGGTACTGGATGAGTATTTGGTCAATTGTGAAACTTCTATTTGATTAGTAATATTTGATGCATGCTTCTTAATGAACATGAAGCTATCTTTGGCTCTTGACTTGCTGTAATCATGTACATTCTGATTCTGGAGAGACTCACAGTTCTTGTCTGTATCTGCGGAGCTTGGATTTGGTGTCAGCGAGCTCCACAGACAGATGCTGCTTCTCCTCTTTGGTCAGGCCAGACGTATTGACAGACGATCCCCCGTTACTCATCCCCCCTCCTCCAGAGCCCTGCCCCCGCTCCGGGCTGTTCATGCCCAGGTTCCTGCAGCCCTCCTGGGGCTGCTGGCTGGACAGGTAGTCCCTCTCCTGGGTCAGATCCACGATCACCTGAAAGGCAGAAGGGATGCTGCTGAATTCCCATCCCATTTGAGTGTTCTCAATGAAATACTGGCAACATGTCTTATTAGAATTGAACCATTCCCGACATAAATCCATTCATTAGTGTAGAAAATCCTCTGAATCAGCATAATACCACGTTAAAGGTGGGGTAGGTAAGTTTCAGAAACCGGCTCGAGTGCACTAAAATGTGAAAGTACACAGCTGAAAAGAATCCGCCCCTTCCTTCAGACTTCCTTACAGAGCACCTCCTCCAACACACATGAACGCGCACATGACGTCAGCAGACTGGTGAGAGTGGCCGCCTGTTGCTGGCGAGTCATTGAAGTACTGCTGCAATGCACGCCCAATGACGACACGCCCAATGAGGGCACGAGATACATTTGTGCGTGCACGAGATGGAAGGCTGACAGACAGGGCGGCAATCCAATCCGTTTAGCCGGCCCGGCTAAACGGATTGGTTGTGCTTTTTACTGTACCACTGCTTCCACAGATGACATTTTTTCATGGATTTTTTGTCAAAGCACTTCAGATATTCATTGCTATCGGGATGTTAAGAGCATTCCATGGAATATAACAAAAAGTGTATCTCGAGCCGGTTTCTCAAACTTACCTACCCCACCTTTAAACCTATAAACTGGAATGTATCCATAATATCAATAGCGGATTAATGCTATGAAACCACTGCAAATATTGAAATGTACACATTATTACATATTAGAATTGTAATATATCATTTTTTAATATAACTTCTTGTGTTTATTTTAACATTGGTATTTCGTGTTTTTTATTGCACATTTTTACTTTAACTCCGTTTTTTTATATTCCTATTTGATTCTATTTCATGTTATATTTTTATTGCACATGTTCCTTCAACTTCAACTTTTATTTGATGTTTTATTGCACAATTTTACATTGACTTCTTATGCTTTATATACAATAAAAACGTTTTATTCTAAAATGGAGCAACTGTTAAGAAACCCAATTTCTCGGGGAGAAAATGAAGCATTATGATTATAAATGATTTTGATATGTAACCAAACGATCTGCATAATATCCATCATATTCTAAGTAGAAAAGAATGGCTGGTATTTTTGATGGGGATTTGAACAAGTATAACAGCAGTATCAGCCTGGTAGGGTGTGTGAGTGGCCTTACCTCACTATCTTTGTCTCTCTGGTCGATCAGTTGCTGTAGCGACGCAGCCATGTTGCGGGACAGAGGCTCCAGCTCCTCCTGACCGAGCTCTGGCCCTTCATCCAGCCAGGAGAGGTCCAGGACGTTCAGCTGGTTGTGTGTCACCTGACACAGACGACACACACACCATTTTTTTATTTCAAATATAACACAGGCAGTATCCTCTAATATAAAACATAGTGACTTCCACCTTGCCAGTGGCGGAATAAATACTCACATTTTATTCTTAAATATATATAAAAAATACTTGGTTACAAGTCAAAGTTCTGTATTCAAAATCTCACTTGAGTTCAAGTTTAATTATTGAATTAATGAATTTGCTGGAAATGTTAACCTATGATTTGATGTCAATGGTTATTTGTTAGTTGATATACATTTTGTATTAGTTAAAACTCTTTATTTATAAGTAACTAAAGATGTGAGATACATCTAGTGTAGTTGACATGAAAAGTAGCATTACATCAAAATACATGTACCTCAAAGTTGATGCAAGTACAATAAATGAGTAAATGTACTTACAGTAGTTACATTGCAACAGTGCTCATTTACACATTCAGTTCAGATTATAGCACTTAATTATATATATTGGTAAGACTATTCAAATAAGATGTCACTTATAACAGCTGCATACTAATTAACGTTTTCATTGACTTGTTACATTTTTTATTTGGCTTGACTTGTTTGACAAGTGTGAGTTTAAACAATGCCCGTCCATACAGCAAGTGATGACTCTTTGAAGTAAGGTTAACTAGCATGCTAACATTATTAGCATGCCCCTTTCATCCAGCAGATAATAGCCCAGTGTTTCCCCTAGGATGGAGTCATAGCACGTGGAATTTTTTAGTGTGTGCGAAGTGCGCCCCGCCAATATGTTTCAATGCGTCTGCCCGCGCAGGAAAGGCTCTTGAGGCGCTACAGGTGTATTTTATCACCTTTATTGAACATACAGTAACACAAATACTACACATCCACATAACAATCAAAATAAAATGTATGCATTTAATTATTTGAACCTGCTTTATGTGGGGGTGGACCTCTAGGGGTCACGTATTATTATTTTAATGTATAATCTTTTTTTTAATAATAATAATTAAAATGTTTGTTTTTCTGGGTACCTGGCTGGCGCCCCGTAGAAGCGGCGCGCATACTTTGTATTTAGGGGAAACACTGAATAGCCTCAAAGAAGTAAATGCATGAATATATATGGCATCATCTTCAGAGTACAGAAAACATTACAGAGTGTTATAGTCTTCCGCCCCGGAATTATTATACCTCCAGAAAGCTCAAAGAAGAAATCTGATGTCTTTAAACAGAAACCGAGGTTTTCCTATAACAATAACCACCTTTTTTAATGTAAGAAGTTTCACATTCTGTAAGTATACAGTGGTGCAGGAATGAGGTCTGATCTGAGGAATGTGTTAGCATTTGAAAACTTCTGGTTCCCTAGTCGCAACAAAAAACTCAACAAAATAAAATTGACCTTTTGAGAATTCACATTTTGTTCTATGTCATAAAACAAGTTAGTGGTGGTGAGGCGCAGCCATGCAACCATGATGTAGTTTCTTTATAACCTTATGTTAGCTTTTGACTTCTGGCTATTGCATTGACACTTGAAACATCTCAAAGCGGTGTTACTATGTGGAGATGATCTTGCTGAATAAAGCATTGAAGTATCAAAAAGGATGAGTTCACATCACATGACAGATTGGGAACAATTCCATCCATTGATAAAGAGAGGTGGTTGATACGTGGACTAGTCTGTTGGTGTAATTGATGGTTAGTGAGGATTTCAGTGGAATAGGGAAACCACCAGAAGAAATGACTGAACCTGAGATGTGCACTTATCACTGATATGTTTCTGTGATAGTGTAGCACTGAGCTCTACTGACCTCCTGGATGTGAGAGACAATCGCAGCCTGAGTGTCAAAGTCCAGCAGCTTGATCTTCTCTATCATCTCCTCCTTACGCTCACACTGTCACACAAACACAAAGCAGAACATTAGACACATTTGAATGAACATTATTGTCTCTATTTGTTGCCAACATGGGTCTCGAGCAGCACAGGACTCTTTATTTGATCCTCTGGAGGAGGGAGGAACAATTGTAAATGTAAGCGACATTAAAAACATGTGGCTTTATCCCCTTCCCTCCCTCTGTGGTTCCGTTATAGCTCTCTCATGGCCCTTTTCCTGGAACTAGTAGAACCAGTACAGGCAGGAGGGAGGAACGGGAGGGAAATGAGCCGTATTAACATCTTTTAGAGCGTTGCTTTTATCGCTTTGAAATTGTCTATTGTTTGGACTTGTACTTGTTTTCTTTTCTTTATTTGCCTGTACAGCACTTTGATCTGGAGGTTTAAATTGCTCTATAAATAAAGCTGTATTGTATTGTAATGGAACAATAGAATAGAACAGAACAGACCAAAGCAAATGAAAATGATAAGAGAAAAAGCAACATCAAAAAACCCTTTGGTCGGTTCAGAGCCATGGGAGAAGTGGAAATCGGAGACAACTAATAGCCGGACAAACAAACACAGACAGAAAACACCTGCGCCCCCCTCCCTCAGGACTTGCCCCTCCTCTTTAATTACTGGTAATCCAAAACACTCGCCATAGCTGGATGATTCTTAATTAATGCTCTTTTGTGCTGGTCTACACGTGTTAACACATTTCTACTTACATATTCCTAAAAAGTAACATTCATGGTCCTCAGAGGATCTATCCTAATGACTTTCCTGTGAAGATTTATCTACATTTTTTAATGAAACGATAACTTAACATCTACTACATGGGATGAATACAAACTGTCTGCAAAGGGCTCTCGTGCAATGCTCTTGTCAAACGTTGCCGACCAATACCCAACCTTTTGATTTTTCAGCACCACAATTACACTGCTTATGATTGGGTTTTATTGATGTAACTCTATTCATTGTGATGGTGCAGTCCCACCGTGCACCTTATCACTGAACGGCTGTGCTCAGACAAGCAAACCAAAACAGACACACTTCCTGCTGGGAGACTGGGTGGTGCAGTGAGCAGCTGTGTTTGGGCGTGTGTGTGATTGCGTTACCTGGACAGCACAGCCTAGTACCAGCAACAGAAGACTTTTCAGCTCCTCCATGCTCTTAACTAGAGGGAACCAAACACAAGCAACTGTGATGAAGCTGAATACAAGTGTTAGTACATGACCTAACTGATAACAGTAATACATCATTGTATCAAAGGGAAAACTATATATAGCCTAAATCAGAGGGTATAACAAGAGGTTAGGGGGAACATCCCAATACAAGCTGACATTAAGAAATAGAAAAGCAACATTGCACTGGGCATAAATGCAATGCTCCATAGGAAGATACATGTGTATATACATGTCTATCAAAGCACAGAAAGGAAGCTCGTGGAAATATGCAGGACTGATGTGTGAGAGTGTGTGTTACCTGATATTGGATCCTTGGCGATGGAGAGGATGTTGGGAAGGGGCATGAGGACTAACTGCTGTAAGGTCTCCTGTAACAGACAAGATGAGGTGTGGGAGGTGAGTGGGACAGAGAACAAGAACAAACACTTTGAATGGTGATAATAATAACCACTGTACAAAAGTGCTGCAGGAGCACTAGAAACGTTCAGCATGCTTACAGTCTGACACAATAATGCTTTTCCCCTTTAGGGCAACTGTACTCATATCGGTTGAAGTTATATTGAGGCTTAATGTTACATATCATTAGATGCATGGCTGCTTTGAGTGACAGGTGGGTGTCGTGTTGGGTTTCTAGCCGCTTGCTGTCTGCTCTGCCGTCTCAAGCATTCACCAATGATCCTTATTTCAGACTCCACTCTGCCCATAACCCTGAACAATGTGTACACACTACCTAACTCCATTAACATTTTAATACAGTAACAACGCCAACTACTTGCACATACAGCATGTTTGTTAAAAAAGGTATCTTTATGTATCTATTAGTGTATTCTAGCTTATGCTGTATATTGTATAAAACACAGATAACAATCTTTGTACTTGTCATGAATATATGTACTGTTTATATGTATGAGCCATGCCTTGTTTACATCACGTTTTTCCTTATCCAGGAGTATGCCACTGTTGCTCATTTAAAGATTGACTTTTCATGTCAACCCACTCAAAGCTTGTTCTGCGCTGCAGTGACAGCAGAGGCCACTAAAACCACAGCAGCCATTGTGCCTAAACACCCACACATGAACAATGCAACCTAGCAACATGAGTTTTGCACGACTGCCTTATTTCGCTGTGAGGGACGAACCTGCAGCACTCCGCTTAGCGGCGCCATATAAGCTACTGACATGGCATGTCACCTAACTTGCCTGTTGAGACAAAGCACCAGCCAGTGCCATGTAGGGGGCAAATCTTCATAACATTTCAAAATCAAATAAAAAATTGGTCTGACATTTATATAGTTTCTAGAAACTGTTGATGCTTACCACTAGCGGTGCAAAATGTCATGTTTGGCCCAAAAGGAAACATTGGTGAGAGCGGGTTAAGGTCCAGAGTGACCCAGACTTGTGCAACTGCATGTTTGTGTGTGTGTAGGCAGGCAGCCAACAGGAAACACCCAGCTGGAGAGAGAGTGTGTGGTGTGTGTGTGTGTGTGTGTGTGTGTGTGTGTGTGTGTGTGTGTGTGGTGTGTGTGTGTGTGTGTGTGTGTGTGTGTGTGTGTGTGTGTGTGTGTGTGTGTGTGTGTGTGTGTGTGTGTGTGTGTGTGTGTGTGTGTGTGTGTGTGTGTGTGTGTGGGGGGGTCTGAGTTTGGAAAAATGTGTTTTCATTCCAGAATATCCTCCTGTCTCCCAAAACACATCTGATAGTCCAGACTAAAGAGGAATTGTGAGCAATAAAAACACCTCTCATAATCAAATGCTATGAAATGAACCAGGGCATATCAAACTTGATTTGATAGGGAGAGGCAGGTGCAATGTTAGTATCAAAACATGTCATGTGACTGCCAAAGCAAGTTGTTTTTAGATGAGGAAACATGAATAAGGTCACGGAGGAAGACCTGGGGGTTATAGGGGAGTAGACATGCTGATGACCTGTGGTTCAAGAGAAGGCAGTGTGTTAGATGGGGATGTTTTGGGATAAGGGAAGTGGCTGTCAGCAAGGAAAGGGCTGGCTGGAAACAAAGAGTGAACGGCATGCAGCACCACCTTCTCAAAGAGAACTGAAACAACATGTTGGCTCCTTGTTGTTTTAGAAAAGCCTGAAAGACACTGGATATCTCAATCAGGAATCCATATTTCACCATAAAAAGAAAATCCAATCTATGGGCAATACTTGTTTTATCAATCGTATATACTGTAAGCAAGGTATCAGCAACAGCTTTCTTCTAGCAGAGAAAGAGTGGCAAGATGCTCTATCCTGCGTTCATCTCAAGTAGCTTGGTCTCTTTGTGAAGTCAAACAAGAAACTCCAGCTGATGTGTAACTCCGCTGCTGGGCTTTTAACAAAGAACACAAATAGAGCACATGACTTCTGTATCTGCACTGGCTTTCCAGATTTGTAGAATCCTTCCTATGGTATATAAATGTCTGTTTGCTCCAGCACCCACTGATGTCTCCGATCCTCGATCACATGTCTCTGTGTGAGCTTTACCTTTTTGAAATATTGCCCCCTGAAATAAAATGTGTGAGGGCGGCTTGTATCCACTGCCGCCCAACCTTTGGAACACGCGTGACCCGACCAGGAAATGTTAGAGGCAGGCTTCTTGTAGACTCCAGCTGGAAGCATACTTGTTCCCTCTTTGCTTTTAATTAGCAACATTCCCTTTTCTTTTCACATATTTATAAATGTTGCCTTATTTCTGCCTTACTTTTACCGAGGGGGTCATTTGTTGTTTACTTTAAGGCTATTTGATTGGATGCATTGTCTTGCTCTTACTTTCTTGTAAGAATGAAGGTATCATGCACACATGCTGAATGTGTGCTGAAATGTTTTAACCTCTGACTCAAATTGAAAGTCTTCTTTTGTCTTGTGCTGAATTGTTAAAGTACTTTGAGCTGCATCCTGTTGTGCTATGAAGAAAAGCTTCATTATTATTGTTAATAGAATGACTTTACATTACGGTTATAACCAAGTAACAGGTATAAGGTAGTGTGTATAGCGGTGCAGATACTGTTACACCAGCAGGTAATGAGAGACCACATCTCACACACACACACACACAGTGAATAAAACATGTAGGCTGGCCACCAGATGTCTTTAAAGACATTCAGCTGAAACACAAGAGTATGTGATGACACCTATTATCTAAACACTGAATATACTGCTAAAGAGCAAGAGACATTTCCAATGACATGTTTCTAAGAGAAAAAAGCAGCTTGCTCTTCTTAGATTCTTCTCTCAGTGTGTCCTATATATTACATTGGTGATATAAAGAATCAAAAAGGCTTTATATATTCTTCTAGCCCTCTCAGACTTATCTAGTCAGTCATAGCTCTAGTTAGTCTTGGCTAAACTTGTATTCATCTAAGCTAAACAGAATGACCAAACAACATTACCAATTTAGGCTGAGCTGTTCTTTGCCCTAAAGCTTTGCAGGAGGATACCATGCAGACATACATGAGCTGTTTGTCCATGGCTAATACAGCTAACTGGGATAACAGCTAACGGAACTAAAGCCTTTCTGTTTGAAGGAGGCCAACAGCCATCATGCATTGGATCACAGTGAACTGCATGTGACAATCTGATTGGTTTCTTCTTTCAACAGCTGCTGTACACCTATGGCTCCTTGTTCCAGCTCGATTTCTTCAATTGTGTCAAATCTTTGAAACAGGATGAATTCTCCAATATCTCTAGAAAGCAAGATGACAGCCCATTGTAGTCCCAAACACAAATATTAGCCATTTCCAATGTTTTGCTGATAAATGGGTGCATCTCTAGACTCAGCATATTTGATATTAGTTCATTTGCAGAATCTAACAAAAGTGTAATATAGTTCACTGCTGCTTGAATAACTAAATCAATCATGGTGTGAAATAACTGTACTATATTCAGCAATAAAAGTCTTATTTCATAGTTTGATGATTGTGTTTTTATCCATTATAATCGTAGCATCAACATTTGATGCTAGCAGTTATTAAAAGGCGGAGGCAAGAGGTACATGAATCTATAGCTGTTTTATTTCATGTGTGGAATGCCAGGCTCAGTGCTTACTAGCTGCTTTTCAATGATAGATGAGACACATCTGGTTACACTCTCGCATACCACCTGGACCTGCATGTGGCGCTACGCTTTGTACACACATGGAATACACACATGGAATACACACACAGCCTGGATGTCAAGGATGATCACAGTAGGCATTCATTGGACTTTCAATGAGTTTGCATGTATACTAGTGATCACTCAGATCAATAGATATTCTCCTGCAACATGTCACACTAAAAGCTGACACCAGATCATCAATACAGCATGGCCCATTCATACACACACACACACACTATAACGTGCCACATTTCTAATCCGAGATCAATCAACTGACAGCAGATCGCACTTAAACCGAGTGACCAATGTTCTTCCAATCTAAAGCCCAACATGTCCCTCTCCTCCTGAGAACAGCTGATCTGCAATATGTGAAACAAAGCTTTAGGAATATCAAGGCTTTGGATCAAATGGGAAAGGCAATATTTGATATGTGTCACATTTAAAGCCTCTTACTGCAATGCCAGTTATGTTTGAAATCACATTTTGCAATATGATCTTAATCTAAAGGACAATCTATGCTTTGGCCAAATGTGTCAAGTCTGGATGAAATGTGTCAAAACAAACGCAGAATAAGTATGCTTCTGTGCCTCACAGTTATGTACAAGAGCATTACCTATAATGTTACATTTGCTTTAGCCGAAGTCTTATATGTTGCTCTTAAGATATTCTACTGCTGGATGGTTTTCAAAGACAGTCTGACAGAAGCAGGCAGACAAGGCTCATTCCTTCCTCCATAGTAACTCCTCTGCTTTCTTTGAGTGTGCTTCTATTGACAAAGGGAACATTAACACACACACACTAACACGCACACACGGGGCATTCTGACCTCACACCTTTTCATGTGAGTGCATTTTCCCTGCATGTAAGCCTGTGAGAAAGTATTAGAACAGGGTTTGATTCACCAAACATTCAGTAGAAAGGACCCTTCAAGTTGACCAATATTACACGTTTACAAAATACATAATGATAACATTAAAACATCTGTCTTTTTCATCCTTCAATCGGAAAGTACAAAAGTGTTTTTCAGTTGTTCAGTCATGTGGGTAACAAAAATAAGAAGAAATAAGTCATGTTTGAAACAGGAAACTCCTATGCAACATAAAAGATTGGTTAAAGGGGCCCTAACATGCTCATTGACAGGTTCATATTGAAATGTAGTGTGACATGTTTTAAAGCTTTAATGTTCAAAAAGAGCTAGATGTTCTCTTTTCACCCTTTTCACCAGAGCCCAGTCTGTTCTGGTGAACTGCCTGACCCTTAGCATACCAAGTACAGT